ACACCACAGCTCCCTTGGGAGAGTGACGGGTCACTCTCATGTAACCCCGTTACAGGTGACCTTAGCTTAGATTCCTCTAAGCAAATAGCTTCGGCAGCCCCGCTGCACCAGGCTCCCTCTAAGCAAAAGAGCTATGGCAGCTTCGCTGCAAAGCCTCCCCCCGTCTCTAGCCATCCGACTCCAGTAAGACTCAGCGGGTGCGTCTGCCAATCACGGGTGTGTCACCTGTAGCTCAACATAGAGACTGTGAGTCGTCGACATTTGAGTACGTGCTACCTTTCCTATAGCTAAGTCTTTAAGTCGTCGACGGTTGAGCTGGTATCAGAGCTGTCGTCTTTGCCGCCACTCAAATTTTATTGCCATTGCGTCGCTGTCGTGTATATATAAAATCTTTCGGATGAATAAAAATGATTCAAGCATTTGTGCAAGAATTTTCGGAACGTATAATTTTCTATCCAAAAAATGATGGTGACCCAATTTGTTCTGGACCAAATTCGGCTAAGCAAATTTCCCGTATCTCCACATTTTGTTAATAATAAGATATGCGTTATTACTTGGGATGTTGAAGTCAGAGGTAGACGAGGGGAGGCGACAGCTTTCAACCATCAGTGTAGTTTAAAAAAGAAGAGAAGACCCGTTTTGGCCCACCGGTCGCGACTGTATTCAGCACGCACTTAAGTTGTAGTTGTGCGGAAAGGCGCGCTCGTCCATTATTGTTAGTTACTCATCAATGAGCGGCCAGCAGCAAGCGGTGGCAGCGGTTGAAGCTGGGCCGCGGCGTCATCGCGAGAATACCACCGCTTCGCGGAAGAAAACAACGCGGGGTGTTGTGTTGTTTGATCCGAATGATCTCATTAGTAACGGCAGATCGGATCGGGTGCCGCCTGTGACAACGATGCAGTCCAACGATAATCAGGAGACTGGAAAAGTAGACGATGCCAATGCAGAAGATGCAGATGATGCAGATAACGAAGACAACCAAGAAGACAGCAATGATGTGGACACTACAACCACTGAACAGACGAAAATTCGTGCGCTCGTTATTGAAGAAATTTGCGAGACGGAAAAGAGCTACGTAAGTGACATCTGTACGCTAAATGATCACTATATTGTGGCATTAGAGGACAAAACACATCGCATTATGGAAGATGCACAAATTGCCGTCTTCTTTAACAACTTGCGCCAGCTTGTCATGCTCAATTCGAAATTACTGGCAGACTTGCAAGATATTGTGCAGCGAAGGGGAGAAAAGCTGACGAATGTTGCAAATGCTCGCAATGACAAACGGAAGAAAAGCGTTAAAAGTCCCGTGGCAGTTGCGGTCCAGTGCGAAGCGGAAGGTGTTGGCGCAGTCTTTTGTCGGTACGCACCGCTCTTTAAACTCTATGGAGGCTACGCTAAGGATTACGAAGAAGTGTCTGCATTGTTGCAGAACTTTCGGCGTGATGCTCGTCTTGGCTTTTCACAGTTCCTCGAATCTTGTCGAGATAAAAGCGGTTCGACTAAACCTTTCGAGAGTCTATTGATTATGCCAATCCAGCGAATCCCACGTTACAAACTGCTTTTGGAACGATTGTGCGAGCTCACGCCAACAGAGCATCCAGATGCTGCATTTCTTACCGAGGCAGTGAGTCGAATACGTCGTGTGGCTTGCGGTATTAACGAGACTGTTCGACGTCAAGAAAATCTTGAGACGGTTTTGCAAGCTCAACAGAAATTTGCGGGACAATTATCGCTCTTTACAGCTGACAGGAGGCTTCTCAAGTCTGGCAAACTCATCAAAATGTCGACTAAGCGTCAGGAAGACGTTATGATTCATCTTTTTAACGACATCTTGCTGTACAGTAATGTGCAGATAAATGGTGGCTACCGTGTGCGGCGTATTGTTCATTTAAACTCAAAAGCTGTGGGTGTTAAAACGGAGTTGCCTGCTATAGTTCAAGCGCTATATAATCAGCAATCAAAGCGTCGCGTTCGCAAAGACTGCGGATTTGTCGTTACAAGTCGAGAAAAAACATTTATACTGTTTACAGAGACCCCAGACTCACGGCGAGAGTGGGTTGACGCAATTGCATGTGCTATCACAGAAGCGCAGACGCAGAGGAAATCAAAAGCTCGAAACGAGCTCGACGGCGATTGCAACAACCCCGAGTCATGCGAAGGGCCTGCTGATGCAGCTGCTCTTTGGATTCCTGATGAAATTGCTGGATCATGCACCAACTGCAAAGCATCATTTCGCTCTTACTATCGACGAAAGCATCATTGTCGGCGTTGTGGAGCAGTCGTGTGTGATACGTGTTCGTCAGGACGTGCGCCGTTATTTGTGGGCGAATCTTCACGTACTGAGCGTGTTTGTAGTCCATGCTTTTTGATCCTGGATTTTGTACGTCAGATTGCTATGCATTGGCTGTCACGAGTTGTCGAGTTCCGTGGTGTACTACGACGTCGAAGATTAAATAAGTGGACCGAGCATTATTATGAGCTTCGTGCAGGTGTACTTAAGCAGTTCACGCTTGAAACAGGGTCAGCAAGCGTCACGCCAGTGAACTCGAAAGGAAACGGTCAAGGTTTTAATGCTGCCGCAAGTGGTGGTATTGCAAGTTTATATGGTAGTACATCACGGAGCTGTACGGACGAGCTCAATCTTGCTGGTGCTATTGTCATCCACCGTTCAGACAGTCGAGTGCACAAAAATCGTTTTTGTTTCCAAATTTCAACATCTGAGTACGATGAGACTGATGCTAAGAACAAGACTGGCGGCACAAAATCGACCCAGCATAAAGCAAGTCCCGTGCAAGTGCGCACAAGCCAGGCTTCAGTTCGACCACACAAAAGCAAGCTTTCTCCGTTAAAACAAGCTGTGAGTCGTTTAGGAGATGCGGTGTCTCGTCGACGTGAATCTGTTATACCGCCTGGAATTACGCTGAATGAACTGGTTGTTGCTTCACCTTCATCTCGATCGGCGCCATCCTCATCACCAAATTCGTCAAACGCAATGACCGCAGTGCGTGAGACTGAGTGGATATTGTGTGCTTCATTCATTCAGGAAGAGGTTGCGTGGCGTGTGGCAATTCAGAGCTCCGCAGACAAGGCTTTGCATCGCATGCGGCGCTCGCGGGCGACAGACTTTCCAGGGTCTTTGGCACAGAGCGGCATCTTAAGTCTCAGTATGAGTCTACCTCCTAGTAGCGGACAGCCATCAGTTTCCTTGATGGCTAGCTCAGTTTCAAGTGGGACGTCTAGAGGGCGACGTATGTCATCCCTTGATCGCGGCTGTACTACGGATGCCGAGTTGTCGATGGATCTCGCCCAGGTGACAGGAGAGGATAGAGATATGGTTATACTAGAACGTCGCCGCCGTCAGATTTTAAAGGAGATCATCCGCTCCGAAGAAAGCTATGTGCAATGTTTAGGAGAATGTATTCGCTTATTTGTTCAACCCCTATTGCTACGCCAACTTGAAGGACGACAAATGCACCGCCATCGCCAGAAAAAAAGGAGAGGTTCTCTGCGCCCCGTTCTTGGGGTAACGTTGAGTACACCCGGTAGAGTGACAAGTTCAAGTCGAGGTCGGCGTCGCGCCGGAAGCAGCGGCAACATTGACGCAGGTTTGTTTATTTGTGCTGGTTCGTAGGAACGTCGTTAAGTATCTCGTTTGTTGCAGCTACTGCCTTTTCTAAATCAGCATCGTCGCTTTCATCGAATTCTGCTCCACCACCTAAAACTTTAGTCATGGATGCAGATCTGTCGATCTTTTTTAATAGTGTTGATCAGATTTACACACTCAATCAGCAGCTTCTAGACCATCTGTCGAGTCATCTTGAAGAAACGAGTCCGATTGGTCATGGAGCGCATACACAAGAAGATGGCCCGGATATTGGTGGGGTGCGAGTGCATCGTGCTGGAGCTATATTTCATGCGTATGCTCCATTGATGCAGCTCTACACGTCGTACGCTAGCCGCCACAGTGATGCTCTTACGGCGTTGGATTCGACTCAGTTTGCTGGTTTCCTGAGTGAATTGCCTCCAGAAGCTGATGCAAATCGTCTTCGGCGATACCTCAATATGCCTGTCGAGCGTATCCCGCGCTACAAGATGCTTTTACAAGAGTTGCTAGAATCGACGCCACATGAACACGTGGACTTTGTACCGCTACAATCAGCTATTAACAGTGTTAATCGAGTGGCCGACAAAATTGAAGACATAAGCGAGCGACGTGAGAATGCACGGACGCTCGCAAAAGTGAGCACGAAAGTTGGAATTGATCTATCGGGCCGCCACTTTGTTCGCGACGGAATGCTGCGTAAAGTCTGTCGCAGCAAAGTACAGACATATTACTTTGTGCTTCTTGAGAATGGTACGTCATCAAACTTTTAAAATGTGTTTAATGGTGGCATTAATACTTGCGTGTATCGTTTGGGCCAGCAATGGTTTATGGGCGTCAAGGTGGTTTGAATAAGAAAAAGTTTCGCTTGATCGACCTGTGGGAGTGCAAGGTAGCGGAATCTACAGATACGATGCCGGGGGTAATTACGTCTGCCGCCAGCTCAAACAAGTGGGTACTGTGTTCTTGTGGCACGTGTTTATCGCTAGCGACTGATGTATTGCGAATAATTTGCTCTGATGTAATCGATAAAGCGCATTTTGCTTTTTTTCCCCGTTAAAATCATTTATTCTGTTGACTGAGTCAGAAGAAGACAAATTGAAGTGGACAGCGGACATTAGCGAGTGCATTGAACGAAACCTACGAGGCAAGACACATCCGCGTCGTGCCAGCGTCCGTTCCGAGATCCTCGCAGATAATGATGAAGATGCGTCTAGCGGCTACGAATTAGATGCAGGTTTTGTAATCAAGAATGGATGGCTCAATGTCTTTGGGGGCGTCGTGGCAACCGGTGGAAATGGGAATGGCACGAGTTCCTGTCTGACTCCGAGCAGTAGCGTCAGCAAAAAGCTTCGCCGGCTTTGGATTACATTGACATTACAAACAGTTTCATTGGGCGCTACATTCAAAGCTGCGCAACCAGAAGAAACGATTGCCATTGAGTTGTGCGAGGTGGCCCCTCTCAAGAAAGAGAAATGTTTCAGTCTTCAGTTCATTCATGATACGGTCAGTCAACTACTTCAACTTTACAACTATTTTTTGGTTGTCGTCAGTCTCCGTCTTGCTCATTCGTTCCTCTGCTTTGAACTGAATAGAAAACAGAGGCACAGACAATGTACGTGTTTGAAGCGCTCAGTTTGGCAGAAAGGGAAGAATGGGTGCGTGCGCTGACGCTTTGCATCACGGGAGGCGACGAGCTAGACTTGCGTCGGCGCAGTCTCAAGATGGCGACGTTGGCTCCTATTTTTATGTTTGACAAAGTCTCAAACGTTTGTACGATCTGTACGCACAGCTTCGCGGTGTATCGACCACGCCATCACTGCAGGTACACCCAGTGTATTTAACATTTAGAGTCATCTTCGTTGACTCTTTTTTTTCCTGTATCAAAGATTGTGCGGCTTGCTCGTCTGTGGAAATTGCTCGAAGCGGCGGTGGACACTCGCGTATAGTTCAAGCAAAAAAGCATCGCGAGTCTGCGATACGTGCGCTTTGTCGACTATGAGTATCACGCGGTCATGTGCTGCCGACGTTTAATACGAAAACTTATCGTGTGTCACAATTTTGAAATGCTGTAGCTGTTGGGACTTTGCCGCACGTACGGATGGGCGACCTGTTAGCCTTTCAACTAAATCAATAAATCCGTCATTTCTATAAACTTACAATTAGTTCAACAAGATGATAATGTCGTGACACAATAGTCAAATAAAGCAATGTGTTCTTCCGCCGCCCAGTTCATCACTTTTATCACATACACTTAGTACCGAGTTAAATCTGCTCCATGCAGACACGCTTCATTAGTCGCAATCATCCGCTGTAAGTCCCCATATCAATATGTACCGGTGCTGCGCTCTATAATTTGATTTAATATGTAATGTGGTACCTTCACTACTGGCACGTCTGCCCTATATTTATATTTTAGACATTCGACAACTTTGTTCTGAAACGTAGAAAACGAGTGAGCGACGTGCGCTCGTCTCGCCGCTTGCCCGTTGCTGCACATCCATCTGTCGACACGTCGAGTCTTATATTTTTTGGACGATTGGACATTCGATTATCTCATTGGCCAAAGACTCCTTGGATCGTCAACACAACGCCAGTTGTTTTTTAGCAATAGACACAGGTGGGCTGTACCATTCTCCATACTGCTCTCCTACCCGCTCTTGCGGGTCGGGAAAATAGTCTTAGCTTTTACGTCTTCAATCGAAGTTCCTGGACTCTATTTCGAGCGAGTCACTCGACGTGTAAGGTTTTTTCACATAAGCCTTCAAGCGTACTACCTTACCCCTTCACGTAGTGCGCTTGCTCCATCTATATGCCGCTGTTCTCTCGATCAGCCGTGTCTAGGTCGCACCGCTTTTCGCTGCGCAAGCATCACCGCCCGTCGGACGCTGAAGCTGAAGTAGTCACTGGAAACCACACGGATAGAAAAGCACGGCGCCAGACACAGCCGACTATACACGAACCGAATCAAAGTATCGTAATATCGGACTCCTTCACTTCTAAGACATCTCAAGCTCCAGTGTCTAAGCTCTCGTCTTCGGTTCGATCTTCATCCTCAACAATTCACAGTATCAGCTCCACGCTCAACGAGAACTTTTTAGGTGGAGAGAACGACACGGAAATATCGGAAGAATTTGTAACGAGGGACTCGGTAACTACGTCATCTCAAAGTCGTGCTCTTCGCAACAGTCGACATAGTGGTGAACAGACTTCGCGCAACAATCGCAACAGTCTTGCCGATTACCGTCAGCTGCAGTGCTCCATGTCATACAAGAATCGTGCCAACAGCGACATTCGGGAAAGCAGCATCATATCCAGTTCTAGCGACTCGAGAGGAAGTGAACGTTCTCATAGAATGCAGTCGTCTCGAGGAGACGGACCTCATGTTACGAATTCGCCGGTACGATCGTCTAGCAGCCGCAGTCTGTTGAATGCACGAATTTCCGAAACGTCAACGACGATTACCATGCCTCTTTCGGAGGTGACCCCAGTATCTGCAGATGATTCTACTCTCTCGTCAGCTTCTCAAACTTCTGGCACTTCAGGAACGTCTCGAATGACAGAGACCAACGTAGCTGTTTTACAAACACGTCGCGCGTTTCAACAAATGGTCTTGGCTTTGGAAGATGAAGATTCGGGGGATGACGACGATTCTGATAGCGGTGCACGCAGACGGAGCCGAGCTGAGAGCTCTATCAGTGCTGGTGTTGTACGACTTGGTGCAGAAGAATACAGAATGTTTCAGTTTCGTCTTCGTCAGCTTGAAGAATTAACAGCAGAGCAGTCGAGGAAGCAAATTGCCGCGGAGCAAACAATCGAGCGGGAAGTTCAAATTCGAACTAAGAAGGCCCTTGAGAATATGAAGAAACAGATTAACATGTACAAACAGGCAAAAGAATTTGAATGCGAGCGTGAAGTGCAGCGTCGAGTATCTGAACACATGGAGCACTCTCATAGCAGTCGTAGCTTAAGTCGAGCGAGCCGATCGTCTGCAGGCTATAGCTCCAGTAATGTCAGCAGCTCACCAACCAGTTACAATACTTCTGTCAGCATCAAAGAAGAAGGTCGATCGTTTGAAAAGCTATTGCACCCACGACGATCTCGAAAGCGAATGGAACAAATTAAGGTGCGCGAGGAGGCACATAAGCGCGAAATGGAACAATTTCGGGAATTCATTCGCTCGACTGAGATGCGCATGATGCAGGCACAGAGTATGGAAAATGATATGTCAATAGCACAAATGGAGAGGGCTAAGCATGATTTGGAGGAGCTTGCCGATCCATTGCTGCCTGAATCAGTGATTTGGTCGTCTCCTGCTGATCTCATTGATTTGATATGTATTTTGCGTAAAAATGGGCGGGAACAGGAGAAACAAATTGATGAAGCTAGACACCTTCTTACCGCTGCGATTGAAGCACGCGAAGATGCTGAGGCGACGGCACGTGAAGCCGTTGAGTTCGCACTCATGCTAGATGCACGGTTGGACCTTAAGGAGAAAAAAGGGACACGACAAGCGCGCGAAACGGAACTTTGTGAATCTCGTGGAGTTAGTATCGAATCTTTTAATCGGCAGTCCGGTATGTCGTCGTCGTCAGCGCTTCATTAGATCTAATGGCTCATTAAGCTTAAGTAGTAAACCACGCGTGAATTATAATACAATTGTCATATGGAAATTTTCTCATTTTGACATAAAAGTACATTAACTTTAAATTTGTAATAGTCGATGTTTTGATTAAATGCTCTCCAATCATAAAAAAAGTTAATAAACCATGAACAGCATATTGCTCGGAGCACTTCGTGAGCACTCGGAACAATTTGCGGCGGGTGCAATCAAATCGCCATGGGACTATTTTGAATATAGTGTAAAGCTCGTACTTGCTCGTTGGACAGCGTTGCGAATGGCAATAGAAGGTGAATGGGGTGGTGGTGATACTCGTCGAAAGTATGAAATTCTGCTTGAGGAGATTCTAAATGTATTCAAATACAACAAAACAGTATACGCCGACGCCATGTCCGACAATATTGGTGGCTACGTAGAGTCAGAATTTGGGCTGATTTGTGAAGATGGTAGCGTTGAGGAAATATCGACACTACTCACGGTCTTGGCGGATGAGTGCAAGAAAGCACAGTACGACCGTGTTAAGGCTATGCACGAGCAGGTACAATCGCTGATTCCCATTGACCTCAAGGCTGCCAAGGTCAGGACACAAAATGATGACATTTTGAATGCCGAAGATGGTAAGCCGACTTTAACTTCTATCAGTGAGGACGATCCAGAACCTTTGGTCGACGAAGATGGATTTATTAGTATTCGGCGTTCTGGCCGTCGAAAAGCACCCACAAAGTTTTACGACCCATTGGCGGAATTTCCAGGCGCAGCATAATTTGCAACATTTTTGCTGTAATTATTAGGATATGTTGAATTGCCAAACCATTTTGTACTGACTACTCAAAGTCGGCAAACATGTCATCTTCCTTCTCTATCGCCTCTATTTGTGACGACAAGGAAGCTGCAGCCAGATTAACGTCCAATTTCTCTTCGCCGTGTAGAAAGGCGCGTGCATCAGCGGGTGATACATCTAAGCTGGGGTCGTCTTCATAACTTAGCAAAGTAAGCTCAGCGTTTTTGACAGTTTTCCAGGCGTCCGAGTCTTCCGACAACCTGACCTTTAATTTTGTCAGAAATTCATTAAATTGAGCAGCGTATTGGATTTCAGGACTTCGTTTGCGAAAGTGCGTAAGACACTGCAAAGCCTTAGGGTAAAAGTCGTAGCTGCTTTGGCTCAAAAGCTTTTCAATTTGATTCTCCATGCCAGTAACTGCAGTTGTCAGTTGTTGACGATGACTTTCCTTTGACTGAGAAAATTGAATTAATGCCTCAAAATCAGCAATGGGATTCATGGAACCAACACTAGTAGTATCTCGGCTATCCAAGAGATCGTCCAAGTCTAATTCCAAGTCTGAATCCGCATCTCCCACCTTTTCGACGTGCTCCTCTTTGAGATCTTCTTCCTTGATCAAAGAAGCTGGTACATCACTCCAAAATGATTTTCTCTTTCGATCCTTCGCTTTCATTACTGCTTCTTTCAACTGAAAAGCGTCGCCAAATTTCTCGATAAGGTCGGAAATGCTCTCTTGACGAACGGGATCCATCTTTAAGCTTGCTTCTATGTACGATGGCAGCGGAGGTATTCCTGCTGACTCGTCCAGTGCTCGCACGGACACGGCGTAGAAGAAACGCCAAATTATTGGATTAAAACACACACCCACTTCATTGATCTTGTCATCGCGGATGCTTAGACTATCCACCAGTCTGTCCGTTAGCGACTGTTGCTCATCTGTTGGAGTATACTTATGCGTCTTTAATGGAGGGAATTCATAATTCCGCAAATCTTCTTCATAAGGCAACTGCTGGGACCACATGGCGTAAAAGTTTTCTCCTTCACCAGATGATGGTGCATTGGGAATTAGAGCCACAATCTTCGGTGCAGCATTCTTTCGTGGGACAAAGCGAGCAATTATCACTTGGTCAAGCTCTACCATTGCATCAATCAGTGCAGCAAAGCACGTCGCAGCATGTGGCTTTAACGGCTCAGCGACAAACACGTCAGTGGCAGTAACAAACATTGAATGGCTGATCTGAGATCGATCCAAAAATCCTAAAACCTTAAGTGATTTCTCCGTCTGGAATTTAAAGAACTCCATGTCGGCGGAAGCAAAAGGAACTTTCTCCGAGCCGTAGCAATACGCCTTAACCCGTTCATCAGGAGGGACTTCTTCGTCAATGTTCTGAGGTGAGGTATACCGGCGATCAAGTTTCACATTTCCTGCTGTCTTTTTCTCATGACTCTGTTGTGATTCTTTCGATAGAGTCGGTAATGTAGCTACTTTGGTCTTCAGGTAGCAGTAGACGGGGATTTTTAGTGCATCACCAAACTCCAATGGACCTCGAAACTTGGTTGTCAGAGTCACCGTCTTTTTCATTCCTTGCGCAAGTAGCTGCATCCGTTTTGATACTGACGACACTTCACCGCCTACCTCGTACGCTACAGAAACAAGTATTTTTTCGTTTTCGGTCTGTACATTATAAAGATTAAGCTCACTCTCCAGATTCTCATTATTTTCAATAAGGCTTACCTTGACATTATCCAGACATGAGTCTGTATCCAATGCCTCGTCCTTAACAGTGTGATAGTTAGTATTTTCTTGATTCGCTGCTTCCATAGGTTCGTCCTTCACACCAGCTCCCATACTTTCATCTTTAATATTAGTCTTATTCAGATATTTGCCCAACGTTGTATCTTTTGGCTGCAGCGTCGTGTGCTTAAAGTCCAAACCACTTAAATTGTACATCATTAACCTGAGCGTTTGAAAGCGTGAACAAATATTTTCACTACAAATCTTACATCACTTGAAGCTTCACTTCTAAGTTCTGAATCATAGTCACGACCGCCTCCAAATCACTTGCGTCTGTAATTTTTGTTGCTGCATCGGTGATAATCAGAAGCCTCTTGTCATATTTCTTACCATCCGTCCGACGAAACAGCAAGTCAAGTGCTACAATCATCCCATCTAGAATATCCACCTATAAACAACAGAAAACAGCTATTGAGCGTGCAAAAATAATTTCTAAATTAAGAGTATTATACCTTCGTATCTGCACCCTTAGACGGTTTCAGCTCCCTTAGTCTTTTGATCATGTTCAATGTCGGCGAGTCGATCGAATTTACCACCTGCACATTCCGATACTCGTTGTCTCCCTGCTCCTCGTTTAGCTGATTATCAGTTTCTAATTCGTGTAATGAGTACGGTTTTCACTTAGCTTAGCAGTGCATGTAACGATGTCAAATGAAAGCCAAACCATCTGATCCATAGGCGATGATGCCGATCTCGTCCTTTGGCTTGAAAAAGAGCTAATGTTGTACAGATCTAAGCACGAATAAGCTATCTAAAATACATGAGGAGTACCAACCTTTTTTTGTATAATGTTTTCGACAGCAGAGATCGCTACTGCAAAACGAGTATGTTGCAAATCATCACCTATATCCGATATATTCTTCTCAAGATACGACATGCGCTCAAGAAGCGGCATGCGCATCGACGCGCCAACATCTAGCAGCACTACCACTGCTTCCTAATAAGACGGAATATATTTTATATACGAATCAGACTTGCAGATTCAAACTTCAAAGGCCGCGACCGCACCTTTGTCCGCGACATAAATGCTCACTGAGAAACTGTTTTGAAAATGTCAGTAAAATTCACGATGAATATTGTACATTGATGCTCGAAAAAGATGTAATTCGCTATTCCTTGTAAATTGCTTATTAATTTACCAAAAGAAACCAATTTTAGGCAAATAACTAGTGACAGACATAATTTCTTTATTAAAACCCAAGATGGACCTTGTTAATTGGGGCTGCAACACGGACTCCAGAGCCATTGCTACTGCTGCTTTTATATGAGTTATTGCTGCGCACAGACTGATCGCTAAAACGTACAATGTTAGAGTTGAATCAAATCGATAAATACGTAAGATAATATTCAACCTTTTGTCACTGCGTGCTGACATCGGGCGAGGCAAACCCACGCTATTTGCTCTTGATGAAGCATTTCGACTGGGCGGAACTGTCGGGATGTGCATCCCTGCATCTCGAACAGCTATCTGCAAAGAATCTCCGATCTCAGGAAACTCGCGTGCGAGCTGACCCATTGTGAACAGCAAGCTCGCACTAATTTCTCTAAGCTCTAATGCCTCGAGCATCACTTGCTCCTTCGTACGAAAACCAATACTGTCATCTGACACTCTGACAGACTTTTGATGCTCTCGCATCTGACGCTCAAGTTTCTTAACAACCTTTTCCCACTTATTTCGCTCTGTCTCGACCTCGCGTTCAACTTGTGTTAACGCACCATCGAGTTGAGTGACATTGGATTGAGCAAATTCACGTCTTGTCTCCACTTCATGAAGGCTTTGACTCTCGCTCGTATTCTCAAGCTCAATTCTTGTTAATTCTTTCTTCTTTTTGAAATACGCATCTTTTGCCATCTTCGTCTGTGCCTCCAGCGTAGCAAGACGTTGTGCATCATCACCAACGAGATCAGCTCGATGAAAACTTTTACGATAAGCCGAGTTGCGTTCTTCTAAATGAGTCAGGGTCGTTTTGAGCGCCCGAACATCTCTTTCAGCTACGCGAATCTTGTCATCAAGTTCGTCACCCTCACGCTGAAGCTCCTCGCGACGCTGGGCTGCTCGAATCACAAAATAAGCTTGACTTCTCTCCTTGCCAACCTCATCTGTCTCGTCGCCAGCGCATACTCCTTTTCTGCAAAGCGTCTCAAACTTGGCCTGTAATTTGCGCACTCGACACTCTCTCTCAGCAAGCTCTACGGACACACGATGCCGTTCGTCTTCAGTCGTTTTGTTTGCAGCTCGCTGCAGCTCGTGGTGTGTAGCAATCTCACGCTTGCGTTCTTCCATACTTTTTTTTAATTGAAAATCACGGTTTTCAAGTGATAAAACTTCATCAGCACGGGCGTGAAGTAGATTACGAAGACGACGCACCTCAAGTGCTTGTAAATCGTGTTGAATAGTCAGCTCTTCCTTCTCTTTTAAAGCTACTTTGAGTGCACGAGCACAGCTTTCGTTACGCAATTTATTTTCGGCAATCTGAGCATTCATTTCTTCTTGTTGCGCTAGCAATGCTTTTCGAGATCGCTCTTGAGCGCGTCGCTCTTCTTCGAGTTTCTTACACTGTGTCGCAAGCATGACTTGTTCGGCTTTGACACGGTCAAGCTCAGTCTGCAATACCTGAACCTGAGCTTGCAACGCCTTTGTCTCATCTGCACTGCGCTCTCCACTTGCTCGAGAAACTTTGCGCTCCATTTGCTGGATCTGGAACTCACCATTATACACGAGCTCTTGTTGACGCAAGGCCTGTGCATCAAGTGCTCGCAGCTTCGCTCGTAGGTTTTGCGCTGCGGATTTGGCACCTGATAATTCCGCTGATAGATTCGCTTCCTGTTGCCTTAACGCAAACAATTGCTGACTCTTTCGAAACATTCGCTCCTTTTGTGAGGTAATTTCCTTGTCTAATCGTTTGACTTCACTCTCTGAATTAGCCAAGTCAATCTTAGCCTGCTTTGCAAGAGCTTCAGCGTCCATAGTTGAGTCACGGCAACGACCCAGAGCTTGCCGTGTACCTTTAAATCGTGCTCTCGCTGCCTCGAGCTCTTGCTTCATCGTCTCGAGCCGATCATCACGGTTCAAATTCGTCGAGCGTTGCTGATTTAGCGCAGCCACAGTACTCGAGAGCTCACCCTTCAGTATTGCTACCTGATCGCGAAACGCCTGGAGACGAGTTCCAGTCAGCTGCAGTTCTTGCTGAGCCTTGCCTTGCGCACGTTCTTTGCCTGCCAACTGTACCTCAGCTTCGGTATTGGCCGCCTCTTGTTGCTTCAATCGGCGTTTCTGCTCGCCAAGCACTTCTTGCTGGCTATTAAAACCTTGCTGTGCAAGCGCAAACTGCTCACTTGCCTGCGTAATCTCTTCATCACGGGCTCGCATTGCCTCAAGAGTAGATTGCCACTGTGCCACGAGCTTAGCACGTTCTGCATGAAGAGAACGAAACTCTTCTGCTGTCTTGTCTAATTCGATTTGTTTTGCTTGCAATTCGGTTGCTTCATCGTCCACATCACGCTTGGCGCGAGCTGCTTGCTGCGTGAGCTTTTCCAAAACCATCGTTAATTCCTTGATGCGAGCCTCATCAGCGCGTCTGAAACGCTCTAGCGCTATCGCATCTTCTTCCTTTTGACGCGCTGCTACGGACCACTGTTCCATCTCGTCCTGTTTCCAGTTCATCTGCAATTTAAACGCATCCATGGCTTCGTTGCCTTTGAATAGCGAACCTTGTAAGCTTACAAGTTTGCGCTCTAGCTCAGCGGCCTCTGCATCAAATCCTTTAACTTCTTGAGCCATTCTGTCTATTTCACGTTTTGCTAACTGCTGCATGTGATCCTCACTCGCAACTTCTTGAACTTTAGCATTGTGCAATGCTTGAGTATGCAAAAGTTCTTGCTTGACATTTTTCAAATGCTCCGTCAAGATTTCGACGCGAGAAGAAGTTTCAGTGAACTCTCGCTTAACAGTATCATATCGTGCTTCTTTGATACGAATTTGCGCATGCAATTCGCGATTCTTTTCGTCTGCAAATAACGGAAGATCATCAATCCCAGTGGGTAGAATCCGAGCAATTCTCTCGTCCATTTGGCTGCTAAATTCACTATTGTTGTCAGCTTCTTCGACGCCGTGAGGACTTTGATTTGATTGTTGATTTTTATCAGCACGTTTCCAGGTATAGTGCTCTTCTTCAACTGTGCCGCTCTCTTGGTAAAACATTTTATCTCCACTATCCAGTCTATCGCTTTTGTCAATCAACGGTAAGGTCTTGTCAATGTCGTTCTCTGCGTTGGGATCGAGATATGTTTCTTCATTATCAAAAAGCGCATTGTTTGCATCGCCATTACGAAGTATGCTATCAGACATTTATTCCTCTGCGTTTGTCTAGACTTCGGAAAGTTTCATCTTCCACGCAAACGCCCGTCCGCTAATAATACATGCAAAAGGTAAAATACACGTTGGTGCGACAGTCGTGCAACAACAGGTAAAATACACGTTGGTGCGACAGCCGTGCAACAATATTTTTGTGGCAAGGACAAACATATTATACGACAGGTTACAAACAGCAACAGCAACTGAACACGTTTAGCAATCAATTCGATTTAAAGTCAGATTTAGCACGTATCAGGTTTATTTACTGAGAACTTAGACCTAAATATATGCAAATTTCAAAATGATAACATGAATGGTTTCCGTACATGTATACATATCACAGTGGTAGGTATACTTCTAATACATCGCCCGATCATGTCCGAAGAGTGGGTAGTCCAGGCCGAGAGCTTTAAGACCGAGGGTAATAAGCTTCTGGCTTTAAAGAAGTATGCTGATGCAGTGGAAATGTACACTAGAGCAATCGAGCTGGATCCCGATAATGCAGTATATTACAGCAATCGTTCAGCTGCATATTTAGCAATGGGAGATGCACGTGGCAAGGCTTTGAAGGACGCAGAAAGATGTATTGACCTTAAACCGGATTGGTGGAAAGGCTATAGTCGGAAGGGTGCGGCCGAGCATGCTTTGCAGCGTTTTGATGCAGCTCGTGCAACGTATTATGCGGGACTTAAGCTGGAACCAGAGAATGAGTCTTTGTTACAGGCAGCAGAGGAGGTGTATGCAGCTGGACAAGAGCACAGTAGGATTTTAAAAGAGCGACTAAAGGAAGAGGAAAGATTTTGCGAGGAGGTCGAAAAAAAACGACAACAAAACCAAGCGGAAGAACAGGTGAAGGAACAGCAGGAAACTAACGACGAGGACGCACTGCTGGCCGAGTTTATGTCAGAGGTGCAAGAGCTGGAAGAAAACGTTAATTGTGTTAAAAAGGAGGTGGAAAAAGAGAAGCAAATCGTTGACTTTGGGACCTCCGACGTACAAGTTGAGAGACTACTGCAACCCCATTATAAATGGATCAATTTAAATCCATATCGAGTGCTTATGTTGGATACTGACGCGACAGAAGAAGATATGAAGCAGCATTATCGCAAGGTAAATAAAGTGTTTAACGTTTATTGGAATAAAGTATGCTAATGAATGTTTCGAAGTTATCCACTTTAGTACATCCAGACAAATGCCGCAATCCTAAGGCTCGTGATGCATTTGAAGGTATAAAGTATTGTGCTTTTCATTTTGCTGCTTGAAATTTAATATATCGTTTATGTTAAAGAGGTGGCTAAGGCGTATGACATTATTACTCAAGAAGACCGACGAAAAATGTGCATTCGCACGATAGAAACTGCTACAAGAAATGTGGAAAAGGAACGACGGCAAAAAGTGAAAAAGGGCGTGAAAGAAAGTGAACTGGGCGATTTGAAGGATGCAGTGGAGAAGGCTGTGATGCGAGCTTTTGCTGAGATTGAAAATCGACGCGTGAATATTGAAAAAAGAGAAGCAGCTCAGCGTCGACGGGAGGCTGAACAGGAAGAAAAGGAGCAAGCGAAAGTTGTCAACATGTTCAAGCGAGAGCGTTCGTGGGCTGAAACCGACCGTCGTGAGCATCGAGTTGGCAATTGGCGAGTTTTCCAAAAGGATGGGAAGCAGAAGAAAGTGAATGACACACAAGGATGGAAAGAAGAAACACGAGTACGTAAGAGGTGAATATTTGTTTTTGTGTGGAATTTACTTACAAACCGAACTCGTGATTCTCTAGAATGACAAAAAGTTTGGGGAGGTAGATAATGAAGGGTACAAGCGAGGCTGGAAATAATTTAGACTATACCAGCAGCGCGACTTATCTCTTATCATTTGATTGCTGCTACTGAGGAGACTTTTACGGAGAATGAATTGTGAAATACGTTTTATTATCGTTGCTGTGAAACGTTTGGTGACTAAAACTGCATCTGGACGACGTTTGCATCCGGTTAGCTCACTCCTTGTATCCTACTCTGCCTCTGGTCTTCAAAGGACACAATTTCTGGTGAACCATCAATTGATTCCTTCACAAATTACTAATGATACCCATTACATGCGGCGATTGCGTTTGAAGGTATTTGATGTATGTCCCTGTGTGTTTCAATACTTTTCCATCAAAATCTTTACTTTTGCAGTGAAACAGTTACGAGATATTTCGGAAATTAGTATTGCTGACTAGCATCTGATTTTCAATTACTCTTCATCAGCGCTTCGACAAATCATGCACACTGGATGCGACAATCTAGCAATGTAGTTGGCAACAGTAAAACATTCGCTCGAAGAGATGATTTTTTCGTGCCGTCAAAGACCTTAGAAGCGTAAAATAGCAATAGTAATTTTCGAGCATAAAATGGGTATGCGGATTAAAATTAAAGCAACAATCTTAATAGATTGCAATGACTGGAATCATCAAGCAACATGCGCTTAAAGCGCTTAGTAGTCGCAAGATTGACGGCACAGGCTTGCGCGTGGCCATTGTACACACGAAATGGAACGCTACAATTGTGGATTCACTTGTTGCAGCCGCCAAATCGGAGCTGTTACGTGCAGGAGTGACCGAAAGTGACATTGTGATTGTTGATGTACCAGGCGCTTACGAATTGCCATACGCTGCCAGTCGCCTCATCGCGTCGCAAAAACTAGATGCCGTCATTTGTGTGGGAACGCTTATTAAAGGGGACACAATGCACTTCGAGTATATTTGTGAGGCCGTTTCGCAAGGCATCATGCGTGTGCAGCTAGAATCGGGCGTACCCGTGCTTTTTGGTGTTCTTACAGTACTTAATGAACAGCAAGCCAAGGATCGCGCAGGCTTTTCGGATAATGGACATAACCATGGAACCGAGTGGGCGCAGAGTGCCATCGAAATGGGTCATCTGCGCAAAGCTACTTCAAATATTGGCTGTCCCATGCTTCCCTATGAACGGCCCCCTTACAACATTTTGAGCAGCAATCTTTTTTGTACGGGATGTCACATCGTCACTATTGGAGTACTCAGCATTATCGCTATGACGATTGCAAAGAAGCTTACGTAGAAATTGTCAAATTTTGTAGCTTTAATACGATAAGTCCTGCAACTCACGCCACCTTTACGCGAGACAATGCTATGCAGAGGCTGACTGCTAAACGGTTTTCAGGGTAGTACTTTACCATTAAGAGCATGCCGATAATTTTAAATCTAAGCATCAAAACCAATCTTTTAGCGCTTGTGTCTTCGTACGCTAGACGCTTGTTACTATCACGCATTTCATTACGGTTCCTTACAAACCATTTAGTAGCTTGAGAGTGTCAAAGCTCAACAATTGACAGCTTTATATTCCCGTTCAAAAGCATTTTCCACCATCCTCGCCTATGCCCAGCGCAGTAAACGTTGTGCAGCGCGAAGAAAAGTTTCGCTGGTTACAATCTTGCTATCAGATAGCTTGAAATTAAAATATTATTTGTTATCAGATGATAAATAGTTTTCACTCCTTATCATCATTTACACGTCTTGCTGATTAATTTTTATGTCATGTAAGCGCAAACTTCTGGCATGAGCGTGGGCTTACGTACCTAACGCTAAATTTTCAAAAATAAAGTGAACAGAAATCTTAGCCATAGTATTAAATTGCATACATTCTCAACGACAACTTTTTTACAAATATTGAATTAAATGTACCATTAAATGCAAGTATCTATATGGATCTTTCAAACTGCCTAGATCCACTTTACTGACAAAATTAACAAAAGCATTATAAAAGAAGAAAGACGAGCTTTTATCATTGAAATTTTAGACTTGAGAATCATCACAGCTCACCCCATAACTTTTAATGAACCATTCTTCGCTCAGAAATTAAAGTCGATTCAAAAAAGGATGTGAAAGAGCAGATAATATATCCTGCGTGTTCACCAGATTCGTCAGTCAGTGATGAAGTAATCAAACGATAAATGGCAAGCAGACAAGCGGACAAGCAAACAAGCAGACAAGCAGACAAGCAGACAAGCAGACAAGCAGACATCATGCATTCGCACATCTTCTCTGTTCTCTCGTTTTCAAGTCAAGAGCTCCTTCTCTCCGTTACTCAAAACCAAATCCAGTAATTTCCATTTGAATGACCTAAGAAAAAAGTCAAAATATTTTTAAAAACCAAGTTAAGCTTGCTAAACGTACCAGAGAAAGATATGTGTATAAATCTTCTTTACTTTCGTAAATGGGCAAATCAATGCGATTAAAGCACGTATGAGCTCGTGGACACAGTCCAAGCGGAGGTGTACCGAGCGGTACCATCTGCAGGGTGAATGGATTAACAATTCCACTAGCACTTGTAAGTGCTCGAAATCCCTCTACAGGAACACGAGAAGATCCAGTAGCAAATTGTAATAAACGAGCTCGCTGCTCGTCTGTGAATGACCCAACGACATCCCAAAACCACTCAATCACCTCAATTTCTCGCTCCATTTCATCCGACTCGCTATCAAGAGTTGCATGTCGAATACGACAATTGTTTTGCCAATCGATCACATCTAAAGTTGGCAATCCCGTGAGATAAAAGTCAAGCTCTTGATAGTCAAAAATTGTTAGTAGTGCCTTTGGAATGACGTCGTAGAGCCCTCTAAGTAATGCTGTAAGTTGTTCCGATACACTATCGAGCATTCGATATCGTAAAACAAGCATAAGATACTCCATCTTGTTTTCATCCGTCACATCGACATTTTCACCATCAGGTTTAAGCTCGACCGTCTCTCCCGATGGAGTCTGAAGACTAAACGTCACACATAAATCTTCAACATTATCATGATCTCGTACCCAACATAAGTGTTTAAAAAGTTCTTGATCGAGATACTCCAAGTCAGAAAATGTAATTGGTACACCAAGTAGATGCTTTAACAATGGTAACGATAAACTCACTTCAAGCACCAGACCATCTAAAATGGCTTTCCCAAGCAATCGTCCAGCAAATGTAAAAAGCTGCAAATGATTTTGATCCTCTTGTACACATTTCAAGGACTCTGAATTGATCCAGTAGCTCGAATCTTCGGCATGTGTTGTCACAAAGAGACCACGCTTAGCACTAAATATGTCTTGGCAAATTAATCCAAACCATTCACGTAATACGCCTCCAGCATCTAATGCAGGTTCATTTATAAATGTAATGTTTAAATGTTCATGCATTCTCGACAGTTCGACATCCGGTCCGGCTAATTGTGGTACAGAATCTTCAAATATGGCACTTCGACGTACATCAAGTTTAAGTACAGAAACAGTAAATGGTACAGCTAGAAGCGTCAATTGCTTTAGAAACCACCGTTTCTTTTCTCGCCATGTCATAGCAAGAATACCTTCGAAGTCTAATGCTCGTGTACCACTTGGTTCATTCTTATCAACAATATCAAGGGCAATCGAGTCCATTTTATGCCACGAAACAGCAGTACCAGTTGCATTAAGTTCCGTGAAAAAACCCATGGACGCAGCATTTTTTCGATGCAATTGTTCCGCTAAGGTACCATGCAACTGTTTTGACCCGGAATTTTTCCTTAAAAATGAAGCGTTGCGCAATTTGTAAATAAAGGAATCCGTGGTTTCAGTACTAGTGTCCATGGCACGGACCCACACAAATCCACCATTGGATAATGGTACACGTTGCCATAAACGTCTTCGACTTGCACCTCGTTGTTTCTGATTCAGTTCCATCTCATTCAATCGTCGGTACCGCAGTGCACGTTGTCTCATACTCGTAGTAGCTTCGATCTCTTCAGTAGAGTCTTCAAAGGATGAGTCGCTGAGTAAAATGGGCAACGTATTGGCCTTGTGTAGTGTATCCAACCCTTTTCTCGACTCATTATCGCCATTACTTTCTGTCGTTAAGTTAAAACTTGTAGTTAAATTCTCTAATAACGTGGAACTAAGCAATGTGTGGTTGTCGGTACCCAAAAAGGTGGTGCGGGCCATTCGTGTCTTTTTATGGGTACTTGGGTCTTCAATCGTTTCTTCCATCATCGAGAAATCAACCGACGTACCACAAAGAAGGCATGTTTCGTGGTTTGGATGATTCATATGGGCACAAACTATACATTGCCATTCGCTGCAACCTGCATCTAAAGTTGTGTCCACCAAATCCTCACGAAGCTGAAAAGAGCGCAAATCCACCAAATTAATGCCAACGTCTTCAGATTTATTACACCAATGGCTTGCACACAAGACAATTAGACAAAAGAGCAGCAATACACTAGCACTTGCAACGACCAATGTGATTCCCAAAGACGACGACGTGTCGTTCATGACTTACGTCAAGAATAATAAGAGGAACATGAGAGTTTTTATCCAATAAGCAGAGTCGAAATAATAGCAGCGACTATTTTGACTACTGATGACTTTGATACTATTTTATTAATATAATCACTAATGTGCGACTTGAGAAAAGATGACGTGTTTGTGGCACGTTAGTGTGTATTACACAAGTTAGTGTAATCACACAGTGGTATGGCTACACCGTGACAAATTGCCAGTAGTAATGCATCGTAATATTACTACATTAATTAGGTATTACAATACCAATTACGAAGACATAGGATATTAGACATTGGCGCAACTAAACTATTAAATACAGATTCGTTTTTGAGCAGAAGTGTTCGTTTGCATTCGAAAGGTTTTAGTACATAAAAGTAGCGGATGCGATCCGCTATCCTTGTCCTGGTTCTTGGAAAGAACATAAGGTCGGTGACCTTAGCTTAGATTCCTCTAAGCAAGGAGCTACGGCAGCCCTGCTGCACTTGATAGCACTTGATATCAATCTACGCCTGAGTCGTTACGACGAAACCTCTGTGAGGATGAAGGAATCTTCCTATTTGCCCCAGGGCATGCAGGACGAGCTTAATATAAAGTGATGACCCTGCTGGGCCCTGAGGGCGTGGAGCACCTCGTTGTGCAAGGGCCCCAGGCCATAAGTGCGCGCCTAGATGCGTTTTCAAGCTATAAAAATGCTCTGTGAGAGAACTTACAGCAGAAGCTGTCAGTGTCGGCAGCGTCTATGACGCCACTATCGACGACGAATGATTCCTTCCGACCCAGGCCGCTCATGGTGAGCGTTAAGACTTTCGAGGGTAAGGATGGAGAAAGTCTCCTACTCTGGGTGAAGAGCCCGAGATGGCTATGGCATTTGCCATGCTCCAAAACGAGCAACAGCGCTTGGCGCTAGCTATCTCCAAGCTCGGGAGTCGAGCGCGAGATTGGGCACTCCCGTGTGGTGCTTCGGTTGAAGCTGCGTTCCCTCCTGGAAGGAGTCCAAGCGTCAGCAAATGTTCTCGTAACCTAAATAGGCATATCATGTGAGATCGCCTTTCCTTGCTGCCCGACATGGCAAGAAGGAGTTGATACACTTTGTCTAGGAGTTGAGAACTGTTATTGCTGGCAGCAGATCCCCT